ATTGCCATGGAACAAGATGGGCCATGCTGTTTTTCGGGTACCCCGACCGAGAAGGATATGGTTACAATTCTCATCGAATAAGCAAAAATTCGTTTTGGTTTTCAATGGAGCACGCGATGCATCGAAAAACAGGGCACGGATTCTCTTTGTCAACGCGGAATTTCAAACATATCCAGACAAAGAAGGATCTGGTTGAAATTCCCATTGCCTAAGAAAATCCAGTTTGGTTTTCAATGCATCGCGCGATTCCACAAACCCAGGAGCAGTGCTTAGTCACTGAGGACGTTTAACCATATCCCGACCGAGAAGGATATGGTTACATTCTCATTGAATAAGAGAGTCCATTTTGGTTTCCAATGCAGCACGCGATGCATCGAAAAACAAGGCACGGATTCTCTTTGTCAACGCGGCATTTCAAACATATCAAGCAGGATCTGGTTGAAATTCCCACTGCCTAAAAGAATCCATTCTGGTTTTCAATGCATCGCGCGGTTCATCGACAAATGAACCACGGATTTTCGCTGTCAACGATGAATGTCAATCACATCCAGAGAAAGACGGATATAATTGAAATTCCCACGGAATAAGCTAGTCCATGCTGTTTTTCGGTGCATGGTCCGCTTCATCGAAAACCGACCAAGGAGCTGTGCTTACTAGGGATGTTTACCCATATCCCGACCGAGAAGCATCTGGTTACAATTCTCATTGAATAAGAAACTTCATTTTGGTTTTCAATGCAGCACGCGATGCATCGAAAAACAGGGCACGGATTCTCTTTGTCAACACGGAATTTCAAACATATCCAGACAAAGAAGGATCTGGTTGAAATTCCCATTGCCTAAGAAAATCCAGTTTGGTTTTCAATGCATCGCGCGATTCCACAAACCCAGGAGCAGTGCTTAGTCACTGAGGACGTTTAACCATAACCCGACCGAGCAGGATATGGTTACATTCTCATTGAATTAGAAAGTCCATTTTGGTTTTCAATGCAGCACGCGATGCATCGAAAAACAGGGCACGGATTCTCTTTGTCAACCAACTAAGGATTCTCTCTGTCAAGGAGGAATTCCCGACATATCTAGAGCAAGGCGGATAAGATTCAAAGTCTCCACGGAATAAGATGCTGCATGTTGTTTGTCGGTGGATCGTGTGGTTATACATTTTCATTGAATAAGAAAATCCATTTTGGTTTTCAATGCAGCACGCGATGCATCGAAAAACAGGGCACGGATTCTTTTTGTCAACGCGGAATTTCAAACATATCCACAGAAAGAAGGATCTGGTTGAAATTCCCACTGCCTAAAAGAATCCATTCTGGTTTTCAATGCATCGCGCGATTCCACAAACCCAGGAGCAGTGCTTAGTCACTGAGGACGTTTAACCATATCCCGACCGAGAAGGATATGGTTACATTCCCATTGAATAAGAAGCCTTTTTGGTCTTCAATGCAGCACGCGATGCATCAAAAAACAGGGCACGGATTCTCGTTGTCAACGCGGAATTTCAAACATATCCAGAAGGATCTGGTTGAAATTCCCATTGCCTAAAAGAATCCATTCTGGTTTTCAATACATCGCGCGATTCCACAAACCCAGGAGCAGTGCTTAGTCACTGAGGACGTTTAACCATATCCCGACCGAGAAGGATATGGTTACATTCTCATTGAATAAGAAAGTCCATTTTGGTCTTCAATGCAGCACGCGATGCAATAAAAAACAAAGCACGGATTCTCTTCGTCAACGCGGAATTTCAAACATATCAAGAAGGATCTGGTTGAAATTCCCATTGCCTAAAAGAATCCATTCTGGTTTTTAATGCATCGCGCGGTTCATCGACAAATGAACCACGGATTTTCGCTGTCAACGATGAATGTCAATCACATCCAGAGAAAGACGGATATAATTGAAATTCCCATGGAATAAGATCGTCCATGCTGTTTTTCGGTGCATGGTGCGCTTCATCGAAAAACGACCAAGGAGCTGTGCTTACTAAGGATGTTTAACCATATCCCGACCGAGAAGGATCTGGTTACAAGTCTCATTGAATAAGAAAACTCATTTTGGTTTTCAATGCAGCACGCGATGCATCGAAAAACAGGGCACGGATTCTCTTTGCCAACGCGGAATTTCAAACATATCCAGACAAAGAAGGATCTGGTTGAAATTCCCATTACCTAAGAAAATCCATTTTGGTTTTCAATGCATCGCGCGATTCGTCGACAAGCCAACTAAGGATTCTCTCTGTCAAGGAGAAATTTCCAACATATCTAGAGCAAGGCGGATAAGATTCAAAGTCTCCACGGAATAAGATGCTGCATGTTGTTTGTCGGTGGATCGTGTGGTTATACATTTTCATTGAATAAGAAAATCCATTTTGGTTTTCAATGCAGCACGCGATGCATCGAAAAACAGGGCACGTATTCTTTTTGTCAACGCGGAATTTCAAACATATCCACAGAAAGAAGGATCTGGTTGAAATTCCCACTGCCCAAAAGAATCCACTCTGGTTTTCAATGCATCGCGCGGTTCATCGACAAATGAACCACGGATTGTCTCTGTCAACGATGACTTTCAATCACATCCAGAGAAAGACGGATAAGATTGAAATTCCCATGGAATAAGATAGTCCATGCTGTTTTTCGGTGCTGCTGAACGTGCTGCTACGCTTTGCGATCTCCCGTTCCAAATTTCAACTTCTTGCTCCCCGAGTGCTCCGTGCTGCAGGGCTGCTGTGACAACACCCCAACGTTGCAAGTCTTCAACCTGTTCACTTTCCGTTGCCCGTTGCCATGCATGCTGTGACAACGCCACATTGGTGGATGTTAAGGCCCATCGACCAGTCCGCAAGGCAACCCCATCGACATGGACGGGCTGAGGCAGTGCCGAAGCTTCTCCAGGTTGGGACTGCTGAGCGTGCTGCTACGCTTTGCGATCTCCCGTTCCAAATTTCAACTTCTTGCTCCCCGAGTGCTCCGTGCTGCAGGGCTGCTGTGACAACACCCCAACGTTGCAAGTCTTCAACCTGTTCACTTTCCGTTGCCCGTTGCCATGCATGCTGTGACAACGCCACATTGGTGGATGTTAAGGCCCATCGACCAGTCCGCAAGGCAACCCCATCGACATGGACGGGCTGAGGCAGTGCCGAAGCTTCTCCAGGTTGGGACTGCTGAGCGTGCTGCTACGCTTTGCGATCTCCCGTTCCAAATTTCAACTTCTTGCTCCCCGAGTGCTCCGTGCTGCAGGGCTGCTGTGACAACACCCCAACGTTGCAAGTCTTCAACCTGTTCACTTTCCGTTGCCCGTTGCCATGCATGCTGTGACAACGCCACATTGGTGGATGTTAAGGCCCACCCACCAGTCCGCGAGGCAACCCCATCGACATGGACGGGCTGAGGCAGTGCCGAAGCTTCTCCAGGTTGGGGCCGCTGAGCGTGCTGCTACGCTTTGCGATCTCCCGTTCCAAATTTCAACTTCTTGCTTCCCGAGTGCTCCGTATTTCAGGTCTGCTGTGACGACACCCCATCGTTGCAAGTCTTCAACCTTTTCCGTTGCCCGTTGCCCGTTGCCATGCCTGCTGTGACAACGCCACAATGGTGGATGTTAAGGCCCACCCACCAGTCCGCGAGGCAACCCCATCGACATGGACGGGCTGAGGCAGTGCCGAAGCTTCTCCAGGTTGGGACTGCTGAGCGTGCTGCTACGCTTTGCGATCTCCCGTTCCAAATTTCAACTTCTTGCTTCCCGAGTGCTCCGCGTTTCAGGTCTGCTGTGACGACACCCCAACGTTGCAAGTCTTCAGCCTTTTCCGTTGCCCGTTGCCCGTTGCCATGCCTGCTGTGACAACGCCACAATGGTGGATGTTAAGGCCCACCGACCAGTCCGCGAGGCAACCCCATCGACATGGACGGGCTGAGGCAGTGCCGAAGCCTCTCCAGGTTGGGACTGCTGCGCGTGCTGCTACGCTTTGCGATCTCCCGTTCCAAATTTCAACTTCTTGCTTCCCGAGTGCTCCGTGTTTCAGGTCTGCGGTGACGACACCCCGACGTTGCACGTCTTCAACCTTTTCCGTTGCCCGTTGCCCGTTGCCATGCCTGCTGTGACAACGCCACAATGGTGGATGTTAAGGCCCGCCCACCAGTCCGCGAGGCAACCCCATCGACATGGACGGGCTGAGGCAGTGCCGAAGCTTCTCCAGGTTGGGACTGCTGAGCGTGCTGCTACGCTTTGCGATCTCCCGTTCCAAATTTCAACTTCTTGCTTCCCGAGTGCTCCGCGTTTCAGGTCTGCTGTGATGACACCCCAACGTTGCAAGTCTTCAGCCTTTTCCGTTGCCCGTTGCCCGTTGCCATGCCTGCTGTGACAACGCCACAATGGTGGATGTTAAGGCCCACCGACCAGTCCGCGAGGCAACCCCATCGACATGGACGGGCTGAGGCAGTGCCGAAGCCTCTCCAGGTTGGGACTGCTGCGCGTGCTGCTACGCTTTGCGATCTCCCGTTCCAAATTTCAACTTCTTGCTTCCCGAGTGCTCCGTGTTTCAGGTCTGCGGTGACGACACCCCGACGTTGCACGTCTTCAACCTTTTCCGTTGCCCGTTGCCCGTTGCCATGCCTGCTGTGACAACGCCACAATGGTGGATGTTAAGGCCCACCCACCAGTCCGCGAGGCAACCCCATCGACATGGACGGGCTGAGGCAGTGCCGAAGCTTCTCCACGTTGGGACTGCTGCGCGTGCTGCTACGCTTTGCGATCTCCCGTTCCAAATTTCAACTTCTTGCTCCCCGAGTGCTCCTTGTTTCAGGTCTGCTGTGACAACACCCCAACGTTGCATGTCTTCAGGCGCGACGTGTGCTGTGGTGCTGCTCGTCCTGATTTTTGCCGCCGTGGTGGGCATGCGCTGTGTCACGCTGATGTTTGCTGCTGCCTTCGTGCTCAAGCCCCAATTCAATCATGGCGTCCGCGGCGTCTGACTCCGATAGCCATGCCGACGGATGGCACCAGATGGCCGCACCTTGTCTGCAGACATGTTTTCTTTGGGCCATCTCGAGGAACCCAGCTTTTGTGCCTGCGGATTGCTGCTGTCAGGCCTACGTCCTTGACGTGCTGAAAGGCAAAGGGAAGGGTTGGTTTCCTGGACCTCCTCGTCCAGGACCCCCCCCTGCAGAGCCCCCGCCGCCACCTCCGGTTGGCCCTGTGGGTCCGGCGCCTCCGGTGCCGGCACCGTTACCCGCAGGACCTATTGGGGATAAGGGCTCTTACAAGGGGACCGATGGCTGCAGCAAGGGCTCTTGCAAGGGGAACGACGATGAGCCGGATGTCACAGAGGGTAAAGGGAAGGGTGGCAAAATGAGGCCGCTAGAGCCCGCTGTACCGCCCGGACGACCGAAAGCGAAAGCCATGCCTGGCCGGTCCACCGGTCAATGGGTGCAATGTTGGATGTGGATGCCAGGAAGTGGCCCCCCATATGCACCCTGCCCCCCTTCAGACGTGATTGCGGCCCGGCCGCCGGGACCTGGGTTTGGCAACGAAGTCGTGTCTTGGTGAATTTGGTATACACAGTTGTGGGATAGCACTGCGTAGGCCTCTTTTTTTGAACCGGATTTTCCGCACCCCTGCTGCCTTGTTCACAAACAACTAAGGAAGTCGAGGAAGAGTCGCCAGACCGTCCGGGTTTCACAGCGTCGACGGCGGCGGCGGCGGATGCATTACCTCCTCCTCCTGGCCCTTCGTCGCCGCGTGCGGCAGCGGAGGCTTGCAGACGCAGAGGCTAGATGTATTGTCGAAAGCATGCAAGCATAGCGCCTGGTTGACGCATTCTGTGGTATTGTTGTCTCTCTGCAGGTTCCACTGAGAAGCGCGAGTCTGAACAGAGAAAGCGCCGCAATAATGAGAGGAAGCGGCGGAGCAGAAGCAGTCACCGGCGTCGTTGATGCCATTATGGGCATCTATCCCTTTGGGGTCTTCTGCCTGTCACGCCTGCTGCGTTTTTTTGAAGCCTATACAGCAGCTGTAAAACATGACAGAGCGTTTTTACTCCTGTGCGTTTTTTTCAAACCGACCTGTTGCTGCACAGCCGTAAAACAAAAGAAATACCGAGTGCGCACCCACACATGAGTCTTTCTGTCTTTTCAAAGTTCATTTGCAGCACTGCAACGAACTTGGCGAAAGCAACGGATTTCCCCAGATGACATGCTTTATATTTTGTTCCCGCAGGTCATCGCAGGGCGAGCCTTTACGTGGTCGCAATCGGCGTCGTGCTGCTGCTGCGCCGCCTGTCCATGAACGGTCGCTTGGAGATATTTGGTCCCTCTGGGTGTCCTTTGCGATTTGATTCGGTGCGAACGCTTCTTTCTCCTTGGTGTGTTGCCCCTGCATCCGATACGCCTGTTCCTCCGCACTGCTCGTCTTCAATTCTCGCGCCTCCACCCGATGCACCCATTCCCTCGCTAGCTCTGCGCCCCGACGCCTCTACCTCAACCAGTGCTTGCCGTGCGCGCTTGCAAACGCTACACTCTGCTACTGCCTGTACCTCGCTTTGCCTGCCGGCACCCTACCTGCACTTCGCCGCTTTTAATTTTCAGTCTTCTATGCTGTTCCGTATCCTGCCCTCGAACTCACAGGGACACTGCCAGCTGCCACATTCTTGCAACTGCACGCTCCGTTCACCTGGTTTTGCTTCCCCGTGTTCATTGCAGCTTTCAGCCGGTAGCTACATGTAAGCACACCATGTCCACCTGCTCAGGTCTCCTTTTTCTGTTTCTGATGCATCAATGTTTTGCATGCAGTTGCTTGGATCCTCGCCGCTCTTCCATTTCAGATGAACATGACTGAAGCTGACTATTATATCAATCTGCCAATATAGGCCACGTTCTGTTCTCAGGTCTTTTGTTTTGCAACCTAAGCACCACATGGTTTGCCATCACTTCTGCCCACTACACACTTACTACCTTGTATCTTCAAAATCACATCACCTAGTTTTCTCCGCCAACAATGGCTGCCTGATGTCCTCTTGCCCCCATGGCTACTTTCTGCGCCGTCTATCGCGATCGCCGCTATCCGCTGCGATGTCCCGTGAGCCGCGCCCGCGAGCTCGAATTTCTGCTCACCTCGTTGCATCAGCGGGACAGCGTGGTGCGGGGACAGTTGCTCTATGGCCAGTTTGCTGCCATCATGGATGCGCTCGGCTATGTCGTCTCCACTAGCACACCGCCACCGGAAACCACTCTGATCCAGATTCGACGTCTTTACCGCGGTCACAGCTTTTCTCTCCAAGTGCCACTGCCAGCATTCTTCCACTGCACACTGGCGATTGAGGAATTGCTCGCGGAACCCGCAGTTCGGGGCCAGCAGGTGGACGTTGCTGACCTTCGCTCGCGTTTTCAGCGTCTCATTGTCCCATGCTCGGCCTACTTACCTGCATTCTTTGCATGGAACCGGTTTTGGAGCATCCCTTCAAACATTGCCCGGCCGTATGACGAATTCACCCGTCTGGCACAAACGCTGAGTGGTGCAGAATCCGTTTGCGGCCCACGTGCCTCCCGCCGAAGCTTCGAACGAATATGGAGCACCTGTTTGCAGCTGTGTGATCCCACACCTTCGCAACTACAACTCTCTTGTCGGCTTCATGGTCGCGATTGGCGCATGGTTGTTGATCGCGCGAATGCACTAGCTGCTCGCCTAGCCATAGAATCACTCCTGCAAAACCCGCCAGTGGACAAAGCCGCCATGCAAGTGGCGTGGTGCCAGTGCTGCTCCGATGCTGACGCCGCTGTTGCGATACATATCCCTGATGTCGCTGCCTTTGTGTCCCTCGAGCGGAACTACAGCAATGCGCCTGCTGCCCACGAGCCATTGCATTTTGCCACTGATGGTGTGCCCAACGACAGTCTCGCTATGCTGCATTCTGGCTCTCCAGCTCCCCGCGCTCCATACTGGTGCCGCTTCTGCGATACAGCATACCTCACGGACAGTGCTTGGCAAGAACACCTCTTAGAGCATGGAGGCTTGTGCGCCTACCGTGCCAGCTTATTGCATGCGGCTGGATCCTCCTGGCCTGCTCCGATCCAGCCTCGCATCCTCCGGCACATCGTCGAGGGGTATGCTGCCCGCTTCCACCAGACAGTCAGCACCCGAGAATCTCTTTGTGCATGCTGTGCGACAGGCAGCCGCACAGTTGACGTCGCAGACGTGGATCTTCGCGATCTGGCAGATTTGTCCCAGTTGGATGCCTTGTTCTCCGCACGTGCCTACTTGCTTCGCCTTCAGGCCAGCTATCCTGTCGACAACACCAGTTTCGTTGGCATTCCTTGGCCCGTGCTTCGCGCCGTCTGTGTGCCTGTGCCGCACATGCAACAACATGGTCCTATTGCTGCTCCACGAGATCCGGATGACGGCTGGCTCCTGCACGTCCGTGGTACTTATGTGTCGGAGTGGGCTCATGCTGCCAACACCACGCACTTACCTCTCGTGTTGCCGCTTTGCACCCAGTGCGTTGCTCATCTTCAGCGTCACAATCCAAGACTGCCACCCGCTGCCCTCGCCAATGGCAACTTAGCACTTCCCATACCTGGCGAACTTCAAGGCTTGACTCTTGCAGATGAATTGTTTCTAGCGCGCGGCTACACTGTGCACCGCCTCCAAACCATGCCTGGCCCGACAGCTCCCACTGACCGGCAAAGTGCACTACGCGGGAATACGATCAGCTTCCCGCAGAACAGTGCCACAGTCTTTGAGTCCTTGCCTCGCTCCATTGCCGCGGCTTCTGACATGCTGACCGTGCTCTTCCCAGACGAAAGCTTGCAGAACCTCGCTGCCTGCCCGGAATATATGGTTTCTCGGGCCCGCGTGCACCAGGCTTTGCTGTGGCTGGTGCGTCACAACCCTTTCTATGCTGATGTTCTGGTTGATGCTGACGCCCTTGCATCCCTCCCAGCCGATGGTCCGTTGCCTGGCGTTGGTGTTCGTGCGGCCGCTGCCGATGTTGGCCTTGCTGTTGGTCCCGCTGATGCACAACAAGAAGGGCCCACTGTCGCAGGCATGCCGTTGAACGCCGCAGTCTTGGACACTGAAGGCGAGGGGCTGCTACCCCGTGATCTGTGGCAAGAAGCTTTGTCTCCTGGATCTGAGCCTGAGCATCCTGTTGTGGTACTACCCCATGGAGCGACCCCGCTGAGCACCTTTGATGTTGCCTACTGGACATGGTGTTTTCCGCTGCTCTTCCCGTACGGGGACTGCCTGCCTGCTACTGCACGGCTGACTCCGTTTTCTTTGAAAGCATGGTCCAAGCACCTGCTCCTGCGTCGCGACCGGCTCGGCTCTGAACGTCCTTGGGCAGAAGATATCCACTTTCTTGCAACCCTCTTCAGTGTGCTTCATCGCAAAGACCTTCTCCAAGCTGTTCGTGCGAAGATCTCTGCTCCAGGTTTTGCGCGCCAAGCCCATGACTTTGGCCGCGTCACTACCACAGACTTTGACTTGCTGGCGCACGTCCTTGGAGAGACTGGCACCGTTCGCGATGCATTGCGTGCCTTGGCTTCGAGTCGTTACACTGCTTAGTTATATACCCCTACCCAGGTGTTCGATTTCAATGCATTCCTTGCTCGTGCGTTTGCCTCCTTCACCTTGCATCCCTTGCCCTTACGAGGCAACGCTGCAATTCCCCCACATTTGAAAGTCGTGCTGAAAAACATGCAGTTGGTCGCTCGCTCCGTACCGTGCACTGACGCATTTCGCGACGGCATGCGTCACCAGGTTCGAGCATTGCAGCTATGGCAGGGCCTGCCTGCTATGTTTGTTACCCTCAACCCTGCCGACGTGAAACACCCTTTTACGCTGCAATATGCCCATTCTGGTTGCTTGGTACCGCCGGATGAGGTTGATCCAGATGGTGCTTTGCGAAGCGCATTGGCAGCCGCTAATCTGGCACATATTGTCGCAACCAATCCCATTGCAACAGCACAAGCCTTCCATCAACACATCGTGTTCTTCTTTGAGGAGCTGCTTGACATTGCTGTTTCCCCAGATGCAACCTTTCCAGACGGCCTTGCTACGCGCTTCGGTGGCGGTATTTTTGGCCCTGTCAGCGCTGTGTATGCCGTCACGGAGCCCCAGATGAGAGGTAGCTTGCACTTGCACATGCTCATCCACCTGTATGGCTTCCATACCGCTGCTGCGCTCCTAGATCGTTTCCGTGCCAGCCTTCCATGCCTAGCTTCCCGTCTGCTCCGCTGGAGCGAAAGCGTCATGCTGACAGCTTTGGAACCATTGCCATCGGTCTTGCAAGTGCCAGCTGCCATGGACACTTTCCGTGGCCTGCAGCCGCTCCCATTGCCAGACAAGCAGCGTACGTTGCTGCAGGAATATGTGGGCGCTACATGGGATTTTGACACCTTCTCCACGCATTGGTGCCCTGCTGCCGAGGACCCGCTGCCAACTACGCCTCCATGGCTTGACCTCTTCCATGATGCTGCTAACTCGTTGTCTTCCTTTCTGCCATGGCCGCGCGCACAGTTGTACCTGCCGCCTCCTGCGCACACAGCAGATGTTTGGACAAAGATGCTCCTCTTTGACTTGCGACATGCGGCATTGCATTCCTGCTTGCATGAATGTCGCCCAAAGACTTGCCGCAAAGGTAAGTTGGGACGCCATGGTTTTTGCAGGTTGGGCTTCTGGCATTGGCGTGATGTCAGTGCATGGGTCGAAGCGGATACCTGGCAACGATGCCATGGAAAGGAACTCCGCGCCCGCTGCTCCATTGGCCACAGTCCAAACAATGTGGGAGAGCTTCTTTCTGTGCGGCACCATCCCTTTCATACCCGGTTCAATTGGTGTCACTTGCATGCAATGCGACAAACGTTCAATCTCCTTGCACCTGATAACCTCCTAGTTCTCGTCCTTTTCAAACAGTTGTGCTGCTCCATCTGTGTGTGTGCTTTATACATAAACTCTCTATCTGTACATGTGTTATGACATGCCTGCTTCTCTCGGCGTCTTGGCGCTCACACACTGCTTCCCCCGCTTTAATCTAGCAGTAGCTGGTCATAGTAACGAAGTAAAAGCGCAGCCAGTAAGTTCTTCCCCGACGGTC